AAAATATAATTTATATATTTAAAAATATATATTTATACAAATTTTAAATATAATTTATACATACAAATATAATATAATTTGTTGTAAAATTTTAATTTTATATAATAAACATTTAAATTCTATATTGCACGAGATTTATTAAATGTGAAAACTAAATTGAATAAGATATTTATACATAAAAATAGAAATGATCATATTTCTAAGATTAAAAATAGATTTAAGCTAAATTTTAAATCGTAGGAAAAATTTACAAATAAAAATTCTGTACAATTTTTAATATAAATTTATAAAGAAAATTCTATAAGAAAAATTTCTATTTGTTATTTTGTGACAAAGCTACATTTACAAAAAGGTTATTCTCCATGTATAAAAATAAAATAAAATAAGGGATGTCTTTCCCATCATCTCATATTTATAAATTCTTTATTTTACGCATGATAAAATTTGTGATCAATTGTTGATGATATAAATAAATAAATAAATAAATAAAATGATTTCCTTCTTACATGATGATACATTTCATATTGGTCATGATAATTTTTGTACGAGAAATTAGAACATTGAATTAAATCCTTTGTGAATCTCCAGAACTCAATTTACTTAAACTTTTCATGTATAAAAAACATTAAATTAAAATTATTGTTAAGATCTTTTACATGCAAAATTTAATAATAATCAATTTTGCTATTCCATAGAATATTCAGAAGTAATGAAGGTTAAATATTTATTCTGTATAGTGCTTTTTTAAGGAATCTGCTTATAGTCATTTAGAAATCCCTAGCCTTCATTACTAAGTGTAGTAAAAAATCAGAATTCTTAGTATTTCCTACATTGCAAGTCATTCTCTACGCAACTCGTGAACATTTCCTTTCATGGTTCATCAACTTAAAAGGCAACTAATATACTATCGCAGGGAAATTGAGAAAATAATGCGTTGCTAAATTAAGCAATCAATGCTCTCAAAATTTTGGTTTCCACTTATATATAAAATGCTTTTTAAGGTAGAGTTGTACGACTCGTTTAAGAAGAATTTTTAGGTTGAACAAAAACATTTTGTCTTGCTTAAAATAATAGAATTTAATGATTATGTATCATTAGTGTATAAAATTCTATAGAATCAATAAGAAATTATGGTTTGTATGACTTTTAAAGTAGTTATTGTAAAAGTTAATAAATTTATCTTTTATGACAAATTATGATTAGATGACCGTGTAAAATTATTTTACACTCTGTGTGTGTCAACATTATTCAAAATAACATATTACAAAAAGTATAGAATATTAAATGTAACAATTCATGTAATTTGAGAAATCAAGAAAATAATGAATTGCTAAATTAGCGACCAATGTTCTTAAAATTTCGGGTTCCATTGTAAATGTTGTTCTAGTAGGGGTGGATAGAAAAAATTGAACTTAACTATCTTTTTTTTTTTTAAATTGAACTATTTAAAAATTAAACTAAACTACAATAATTAACTATTTTTATGAAAGCGTAAAAGTTAAACGTGTCTAAAATGGTTTGTCTTAATGAGTTAGTCTGATAACCTAATGATCCATGCTTTAAAAAAAAGTGATTTGAAGAAAAATGTGTTAATTTGGTTAGGCCTGACGAGTCAACCGAACTATCTTGGATTTTTTTTAATCCTGAAACCTATCGGGTCTATTTGACTATATATATAATAGTTTCCTTAAAAAATTTAAATAAAATAGAAAATAAAATGAAATTGGAATATTTGTCTTGTCTTGATATATTAGCGGGTCAAAATAGTTCAATTTAAAGTATGATAATAATTTAGCGTTGTTCGCAATTTTTTATACTGTAGTTCAATGAAACAAAAAAAAAAATTAAATTCAGCTTTAGGTGATCTTCTTTTTTAAGTTCAATATTATTTTTATAAGTTAAGTTCATTTTTCTTATCATGATGTTCCGATACGCTTAAAAATTCCACATCGCTTAATAGTTAAGATCAAGAATAGTTTATAAATACCCTCTTCCTTTAATCTACCGAGACATCTTGTAACATTGTGAGTTTGATAATTATTTGGTTATTTTCATTACTTAATTGATTACATGTTTTGTTGTTATGTTATTTTAAAACTTTAAAAATTAAGAAAATTCTTATGAATTAGTTGTTAGGAGTTGTTTGAGTCAGGGTCAAAGTTAACCCATATTTAGGAGAAAGTATATATATATATATGATTTTCTTAAGATAAGATTTGAATTTCATAAGTTCAATTTCTTAAAAAAAGTTAGAGAAATAAGTTTTGGAGTCAGAAAAATTTCTTTCCTTTTGTTGATCTCGTAGAGTGTGTGGATCCTTCTTCAAAGTTGGATTGAGTAGTAGTGTGATAATTCAAAGCTTCATGAGTTGAGAATCAATGAGAGAAATTATTGTACAAGAATTTGATATTCTTGGACTTTCTTCCTTTTTACCTTTTTTCTTGGTAATTTGAAGTAAAGGAAGCTTTTTGTTTCATCTTTTATATTGTGCATATTTATTCTTCTTTGTTGATTCATGTTTTGATAAGTAATTGAATTGGAATTGAAGAGTAGAAAATGTTGGATATTCCTGGTTTTGGTATTCTTGGTGAAGCAAGACGATATTGAGCTATTATTGTTTCATGTGATGTATTTTGATAATTTGGAATCCTTTATGTTGTTTATGTGCTGGATTTAATTGCATGTTGTATTTGGACCGAATAATTGTAGGTTGTTGGGCCAAATTACCATTTTATCAAGTGCAAAAGTTCTCTCCAACTCTTCTCCATAGCTTTGCTGAAATCCAACAAGTGAACGTTAACACCAAGTCTCTACAAACAATTACATAAATTCTCCACAATAACAATTTACTTTTCCATAGTGTATTTTTCTTTACTACAAGCAATTAAAATAGATTATCAGTTCAAACAAATAATCCATTAATGAAAAGCCAGAAATACTTAACAAATAAAAATTTTAGAAAAAATGCAATTTAGTACCTTATACTGCAACTTTGGGTCATATGGAATTTACTTCTTGATGTTTTGAAACGCCTATTTCACTCCATAACTTTTTTTAAGTATGCAAAACAATAACCCTTCAATAGCTAGTTAGCTGCAGATCTCTTATTGGTAACAAATTAATTAGCTATGAAGTAGGAAGGGTTATTTTGCACACATTTTAAAAATGCTTGGGGACGAAATTATACATTTTTAAATGTTAAACTAAATTGCTCAGAACCAAAAATTCAGGATACTAATTTATATTTTCCCCAAATATTCTATATGAAATATAGAAATATAAAAATTCATTTTGTGAGATTTACATTTTCCTCTCCCCTTGGTGCAAGCTCCTCTTGGGTAAACTCTAGTGCTTATTCTACCTTTCCATTCCAGATTAGTTCTACCAACCGTTGCTTTTGAAGATGAAAAATAATTGTGGATTTGTGTCTAATATCTACAGATAATATTAGAAAAAGTAATAAGATATTGGCACAAAAAAGAAAAAAAAAATAACAAATACAAAAACAAGAGTAATAAGGTGGTCTCAGTGGATTGGAGGGAGGAAATAAGATTGGAGTGATAGAGAGAATGTGTCTTCAAATATCCCCACTAACTTAACAACTAACAATTAATATTTGTAAATAAAAAAAAATATAAAAACAAAAAATTAATCACCAAGAAACAAATATTCACATGAAAAGGGATGTCGTAACAAATTTTCACATAAAACAAATCTCTAAGGATACCAAACTGTCCTTTGGAAATAAAATATTCAATAAATGTAGCAACAACACAAGAAATAAGAAGAAAAAAATAGAAGGATAATGAATGAAAACTTTACTGCACAATAGGCTATTAACTGGTTTTTTCTGGTTTAGACTTCTAAAGAACCAAGTTAGGCCTTAAAAATAGAGTCTATCGACCTATATCAAGTAAATGGTTGTCAAACTAATGCTTTTTAGGATTGGAAAACAAGACATGCCAATGTTTTATAGAGCCTAAATTTCCAAATCTAATAGTGCTCAATGTAATAATTTTAAACTACAAATTGATGAAACATCTTAACAACAAAACTCAAAATAAAATCATGTCATAATTGAACATGTGAACTTTGAAGCTTGTATATTAGAAAAATCAAAACAGAAAAATGAAACAAACAAATAAAGTGCATAATTGTTGAGTAACAGTGTAAAACCCCTGTTGTCAAAGAATGAAAAACAAAAAAAACAGTATAATAATTAAATAAAGTGTATTTCTTAGTGTTCATTTTCATTTAAAAACTAAAACTTATTTGACATCTGAATTTCTTTGATGAGAATAGGTGGGTAAAAAAAGTAAAAGAGTAGGGGGAAATCAGTGAACCATGTGATCAGTATTGGTGATGCGGAATTAATTAAATTGCAAAATATCAAGTGATCACAATCACATGATCCAAAGTCATGCAATTTATCACTAGATAAAAATTGCTAGCTTTGCGAATTTCACAATTCATATAACAAATTGTGCAATTTTAGGCATGTAGTATTAAAAAAATGCAGGTAGTTGGGAAGGGGATAACATTATAACTGAACAAAAGAGGTTGCATCATGTTCTCTTTAAATTATGCATACCTCTTCCTAGGCCTTGTTTAAAAAAAAATGAAGCAACATACAAGCACTAATTATATAAAAAAATATTAATAATTTTGTATCATTGTTAACATGTGGACTACATAATCTACATAGCAATATCACTACCACATTTAAAACCTTGGGAAAGTGCATGCTTAGCTATCTAGTTGGTATGAAATTGAATAAGGCACGCATTATGTGTATTATACAAAAATAAAAGGAGACTAAGGAAGTTATTACAAAGTACATAAATGAAAGGGAGCCTACCTTTGAATTTAAGTCATTCACTTTCTCAATTGCATCCTCAACATTACCACATTGTTGCAAGATCTATGTTTGTTGTAGATCAATAAGGACAAGCAAAGCTTCAAAAAGGAATAGGATCTCTTGCACTCGCAAACACAAAAAATAAATAAATCTAAAGAGGATACGTTCAATTCTAGACTCCATTTGAAATTTCTCAGCAACTTCAACATTGCCCTTAGTGACAAAGGAAATTCATTACCAATTTATTCATGTCTTCTTTCCGAATCTTCACATCATTAAGCTTCTTCTCCAATTCTTCTCTTGTTATCACTTTCTTAGATGCAGCCTTTACACAGATAATAATTTGCAGGGACGTAAAACATTAGAATGTGATTGCCATGACATAGATTAGAATTACTTCACTTCCATGCAGTATGCAGAACATTATCCACAACAGTCCATTAAAATCAAAACCTGTTTGTTGCTAATTTGGTCGAAACAATAAAATCATACTCTCTTAATCCTTTACGCAAAGCAGATACAAAGTGGCGGTGCTAATTATAAAGTGAATAGTTATTATAAATGATAGTTATAATTGCTCATTAAGGGACTGAAATTACCGAATCAAACACATACAAAATCTTCAAATACTATGTTTTCTTTTTATTCAGTGGTAGCTAAGTAAGCATGGTCATGTGGATTTCATCTGTAGCAGTCAATCCAACCAAAGATAGTTAACTTTCAAATGAATAGTGAATAACTAGTAAAAAACTTCTGCATTCATTATAACATATAGTCTATAAATTAAACACAAATCATTCTTTTTTTTTTTTCAACTCTTAGTTAAGAGAGTTGCACAACACAGCAATGGCCACAAAGCTCTTTCTGACCCTCAGATTCCATTGGCTCAAAGCTCCTCCAAGCATCTCTGGTGGCTGAAGTGTCAAACATGTGCACCACAGACATGGTTCTCGGCACTTCCCCACCTATCCTATAACCTGCCAAGAAAAACAAACGAGTCCCAATTGGTGCCATAGTTAGGTACAAACGTTGATCATTAGAAGGGCAATTCTCATAATTGTTCTCAAATGTTGACAAATTTTGCTTGTGTGAACCATCAACTTCATTCCAAAGTTTCCCATCATAAGCCTCAATGTGTCCCTTCCATGCATTCAAACAATCCCCTGAGCTGAAAAGAGTACCATTCACTGCCACTATCTGATTAGGTGGAACATCCAATTGCCACATCCCCGCAATGAGGTCCCACTTCCCTGCTTGCATGTCATACACCTCAGCAGAACTACGTTCCACTATGCTTGCCATTGTCTTATTTGAGTCCTCCCTCTCAGCAAACCCCCCCACTATGTAAACCTTCCCTTGCCACGTCACCCCTATACACTTGTACCTCAAAATGTGCAAATTCGGCAAAGGGCTCCACGTGTCCAGCCCCGGCTCGTACACCTCAGCCGAGGCGATCCCATGCGCGGTTGCCAGCGTGGACTTCCCCCCCGCCACGTAGATTTTGTTGTCACAAACGGTGCACGCGAAATCATACCGTGCCACGCCTAGGGGAGCACAATTGAACCATTGGTTGGTCCTAATGTTGTAACGGAGAACATTTGGCACAACTTGGATTCCCTCGTCCACGTAGTCAGCACATTCATCGGACACGTGGACCATTTCTTTGTGACAAATTTGGCCACCAATTATGTAGATAAAGTCCCCTAGGGAGACTATTGCGAACCCCTTTAAGATTTGGTCATCAATTAGGCCAGGAATTGGGCCAACACAGGTCCATGTGTTGATGGATGGGTAATAGAGCTCAATTGAGTTAGGGAGGCTCACACCTGGGGTTGGTTCTCTAGGGCAAAACACAGCAACCACAACGTGATTGGAGTGAAAATTTTCTGGCGATGGTGGGGCTGTTGGTCTTGGTGGTGAAGGGAGTGAACCCATTGGAGGTTTTGGGAGATTATTAGGCTATAGTACTAGTGATATTTTTCACTTTGTAATAATTCCTAAGTTTTGTGTGTCAATGGCAACTGGGAAATGTAATAATATAAAGGTAAGGCAGAGATATAGAGGAAAGGTGACGGAGAAAACCAAAGAGCCTCGAATAGGAAGAACACGTGGCGGTAAAATCAAAGTGTTTTTCTTGTGATAACAGATCAAACATTGGGTGCTTATTATGCATAGTTATGTCTGTTTTTTTGGTCAGCACATGGGACAACCGGATTTTCCTATGTCCTTGTAGTTAGGAGGATTTGAACAATTTTTTGAATATTAAATTAGCCTCTCTCTGGCGTGGGTTTTTAGGTTAGGACTTAACTTATTTGAATAGGATATGTTTTCTCTTTTGGTAGCGGCACGGCAATGAGATTATGAGAGTGATTGGAAGATACATGAGCAAATGCAGCTAAACAGTGTTGTGTAATTTCAATTACACGCTACTTTGTTCAAATTACCAAACTAACATATCAATTTGATTTTTTCGACAGTGTTGGGGAAGAAGTGAAGAACCAAGCCAAACGCAAAACAAGAAAAAGTTGAAGGCTTTCACATTGCGATGAAACTAAAGAAGAGTGAAGGCTCACAATCACACAGCACACCCCACGAGAGAGAGGGAGTGAAAGATGAGATTTTGAAGACTCGCTTTTGGTGAGGGGTGGGAAAGCTTGGCATTGAAGGGCAGCTGAGAGTGACAGCGGCGGTTTGAGGAACTTCTCGAAGATAGCCATGATTAAGAACATGGAGATGAGAATGGCAGTGGCAACAAAGAGAAAAGAAACATCGTTGACAGAGTTGTCGAAGCTTCATCATATTCCTTTCTCTGCACTTCAAATAAGTTTTATGAACTTATTTTATGAACTTCACTTGGTTCGTGGATTACATGCCGTGAGCAGAATAAGAGCATGTGAGATTGTGCATGTATGTATGTTTTTCATGCAGCATTGTGTTCACCACTTTAGACAACTGCATATATGATTGTGTCAACTGCATTCTCAAACAAAGTATTCCGGAGTGTGCGGCGGTTTTCCGGCGGAGGAATATTCCGAGGGCCGGCGCGATTCCGTGCGGCGGCATCACAGGATAACGCGGGTGGACCTTTTCCTTTTGCCCTGCGTTGTTACGTAGTGATGTTATTATATTAGCGGCTTCAAAATCGCGCGCAATTAAAAAATTGGAAACCTAAAGAAATGATTAAATAAATAAATTAATTAATTTGCAATTCATGGATTTTTTTTTTCTAGCGATGTACATTTGAATAAACAATTGATTAGTTACAGCAGGCTTTCGCTTCTGCAGAATTGACCTCCGTCTGCCATTGTTTTTTCTTGTTTTCTTTATTAGAATCCATTGCATCCACATTCACCTCATTAATCATTAATGTAAACTCATGTTTAATCTTATTCATAATACAACTAAGATCTCCTTATAATAAGAAGTTAAATAAAGATTTTAAGAAATTCATAAAAATAAAAATATGATATATAATTGTGTTACTCTTTTAATCTATTAAGACAATACATCAAACGCGATAATTCTAATAATATTAGCAAATTTATAATCGAAATAGATTACACGTCAAAAGAATTGATGTCTCCATCATCTTGTCAAGACAACATGAATTAAGACAACATGAATTTACCTTATTGTAATGAACTTATTTGTATCTTTTTTTTTTTTTAACAATTTAATAAGTTAAAAATTTGACTTATTAGAATTTAATAAATTAAAGTTAAAACCAAATTTTAAAGTCTAAATTTTAAATTAGAATCAATTAACTAATGAAATTGTGGAGTTTAGTGTAGGGGTGGAGTTAAAATTTCAATTTAAGGGGCAGGCCAACTCAACATTGGCAAATAAAAATCAATAAAAAAAAACATATACATTTCTATGTACATACTATTTTAGGAAATTGAATTACTTTATCACTAAATAAATTTTTTTATACAAATAATTTTTGCAAAATGACTAAAATATTTTTAACAATTATATATATATATATATATATATATATATATATATTATTTTCTATCTTAAAGTGAGGGAGCCAAAAAAGCAAATTTAATTTAATAACACAAGTGAACTCCTAAAATTTAGAGAGGGCTGTGACCTCCCCCTCCCTCTGTCCTTGGTCGTGGTTACTCAGTATTTTTAAGAGATATTTGTTAAATATGATGTAACCATTGGTTACTATACTTATAGGAAATTTCTATTTTCATATTGTTTTCTATAACAACATTTGGGTATTATTTATACCTTTTTCACATTTAAACAATATCTATTACTTTGTTGATAAAAAAGAATTTACTTTATTTGACATATTTTTAATATATTGATCATAATTTAAAATGTTAAGTACAATATAAATTTCTTTTCCTGGTAAATAAGAAATTAGATTAAGGTAAGACATAACTTCGTGTAAAGTTAAAACTATTAACTTTTTTGAAGCTTTCCAACGAAATTATGAATCGCTTATTCCATATCCAATGCAAATTCACCTGGAAAGATATAAAACACCAAAAAAACTAATTAAATTTAAATTAATCCAAAATTATCCTTATTTTTGAATTATTTCAAACTACACAAATTAAGTAAAAGTATTTATACTTCAACATTAAATCATTCATAAGAAGACCTTAGCTCTGCTTTGTTAAAAAAAGTTCAAATTAAATTCTAAATTAGATTTTACATTAAAAAAAAATCAAACTTATTTTGATTAAATGGCCTTCTTTAGATTTTTTTAACATTATGGTATTGATGAAAGTATCCTTAAACTTCATTAGAACAAGTCTCTCTTAAAATTTTAACTACATTAAGGTTATTTTTTCCAATGTTGTTTTAAAATTGAGATTTGAGAATCAACAGCAACATCAAAATTGAATCAGCAAACATTAGTTAGTAGCCTTCTTTTAATATTTTAAATGAGGGTGAATTTAAATAAAAGCTTTAAAGTTGTAATAATTTTCTCAGTTTTTGTAAAAAAATCCACATAAGGCAAACTAATCACCGATGGAAACCCAAAAAAAAAAAATTATATTAAGTCGAATTTAAATGAATCTTTTCCTAATATATTAAGTTTTAGGAACATTTTAATTTTAATCTATATTTTGAACATGAAGAGAGAAAAAAAACTAATTTTATCCGTGTCCCAGACTATGTAGAATCCATATGGTGTATAGACATTTCAACATAACTAAACGTAATGGCATCCATACTTTAAAACTTCAATTCTAAAGTAGACATTCGAACTGTACTAGCTGCACCATAACTAGAGCATAGCAAATATCAAAATCCTGCAAATAAAACTTAACCTATATGAACTTGGGTGTAGACCTATTTGTTTCAAACACGTCTTTCGAATGACCGTTTCACGGAAACATGATCCTGCGTATATGGATGATGCTTGTAAATTGCAAACACTGTCCAAAACAATATGCAAGACTAGCCTTATTCTACATGATATCACGACTCCAATGTAGGCATTTACAAGATGAAACTAGCTTTAAAATCCAAATGCCATAGATGAAGCATCTAGTTTGTGCAGCATCCAATTTTCTTCAAAACTGAAGAATCATCTTTCACGTTTATAGTTTGTCCTTTAGACGGGACAGAAGAAGAACCGCCGTTGTCGCCAGCCTCAACTGCTCTCTTGCTCACTATGCGATATATCTGAGAAAGAACCTCAGTAAATGCATTTTCAACATTGGTTGCTTCCAAAGCAGAAGTTTCCATGAAGTAGAGAGACTCCCTCTCTGCAAAAGATTTTCCATCATCTGTTGGGACAGCAACAAGGTGTCGAAGATCCGACTTATTTCCAATAAGCATGACCACAATGTTGGGGTCTGTGTGATCTCTCAACTCTTTCAACCATCTTGCAGCATTCTCAAATGTAGCACGGCGTGTGACATCATAGACAAGTAAGGCTCCAACAGCTCCTCGGTAATAAGCACTAGTGATGGCACGGTACCTAATACAGAAACAAAATTCAAGTGAGTGGATGTAATAGCTGGCAAAGCAATAGAGAAATTCTCCACTCATTTGTACGGGTATGATTGAATGTTCTCTAGTACTAGCTGAAACAGAAATTTAGGTCTAGCTCAGCTTCTCATAGACATCTCAACAAAAATTCCATTTTACTCTTAATTACATCATTTGAGAACAGAGGATACCATTTTAAAAAGACAAAACTTAAGCAGTATCTTAAGTAAAAGTCCTACTGCTTTTCCAATTAAAATTGGAGTTTCACTTTGTTAATCTGCTTATTTAAGGTTGGTATTACAGCTCAGCATGGGTTATCCAATAAAAACTCATTTTAATTGAAGAATAACATCACAAGCACCTAGAGAATAACACTTGAGTTTTTTACCTTTTCAAAATTAGAACAACCTATGCTGAACATATGTTGCTTGAAACAATGTTTCCTTTAAAAATATCATCAGATCCATATGGAACACTATCTTTAAGTTTATTCAATTTTAACTGATAATAATAACAGATTTCATAGGTGCAGGAATTCCTATTATTTAGGAAATAGGAACCTCCTCTTTGATTAATGGAAGTCAAAGCAACTAGATTCAGCAGCTCCATACCTATCTCTATTTCTCAATATATCTATTTAGGGCGTGTTTAGAAAACTAGATTAATTAAGAAAAAGCAATCATTGAATAAGCTCTTATCAAATGAGAACTTATTCATAAACTTCAATCTGAAGCTTATTGGAGTTAGCTAAATGGATCTTATTTTGATAAGCTTCTCCATGAAGCATGCTATAAAAAAAATAAAAATAAAAACTTATAGAAACTAGAAAGGTCATAAGCCACTTCTATAAAGCCCAAATAAGCTCTTGCAAATGTCCCTAGAGTAGTGTATTATATAGAATTTTTAGGATAACATATGACACGTGAAACAAGTAATCAGCTGCATCCTACTATCCTAGCTACATAAAAAGTTGGTCACCACCTTGGTTTTAAAACATAAGTTCACCAGGAGCACATAGATTAGTAAGGGTAAGTTTTGCAAGATGCAGATGTACATTCAAAGCCAGTTGGACTGTTGTCCAAAATAGGGAATTTGAAGTAAATATGACAAATATATTCCTTGGATGTTCAGGTTCTTGAAGTTTGCATGTATAATTGTATGCTGATAACAATAAACTACGAGGAAATCCAAAAGGCAGGGAAATCTATAAGATAATAGCAAATTCATCTTATCCTATATTATTATATAACCTTCTATGTTGTTAAGGAACTAACTTTCAAAATTATATGAATTAGAAGCTCAAGGCTCAGTCTGCAAAGAATACTACCTCACAAAAGTGACTGTGTATATTGATCAGCTTGTTACTCATTAACATGATTCATATATTAAAAATTTAAAATAATTTTTAAGCAATATTCAATATTTATATATAAAATCAAAAATAGACTTGTGTACTCCAGTAGTCAATAGTAGAGTATGCTTATTCAAAAATTCTAATGACTAGGGCAAAACATATTTTGTTTCGGTAATTTCAAAATCACATCGATCACTAAAGCTAATTGGAGTTATTGAATAGAACATCCAAGCTTACATCATATATGGAAGCTAAGATGGGGGCAAACCATTGACTCTTATGTGGGCATTCATTTTAAACAGGTGTTCACCACTTCAATTTGGACTGTTTTGTCTGGTTCTCCTAGTTATTTGCTGTCGGCTAAATGGGCTTGACACCTAACTGGTTCACCAATTTTCCGGCTGAACCAATCAGACCGGTCAGTTTTGTATTTATTCAAATCTTGAAACAATGTTTCCTTGAAAGACTTAACATTGAGTAGATGTAGCAGGAACCAGGTCAGAAACCCCCATCATTTGCACTCCACCAACCCTGAATCCCTAGCCTCTCCATCCCCTACCAACTCTGCCTCAGCCAAAATTTCTTCCTGCACCCATCATTTCTGGCCAGTTTCCAGTGGCATACATCTTTTGCCAGCCACTTTCCATGATACTCATCGCTGTTACAGACATGTGTCTGTAGTTATGAAATTCTTACATTTTATCATTTGCAATTGACTACTACTACTACTATGGTATATAGTTTTAGTGTTTTATAGAGATAATAATGAAGCAATTAAAAGAGGGTGTAAGGTGTAAGGAAGAATTAGGAAGGAAAAAGACCTTTCTTGACCAGCAGTGTCCCAAATCTGAGCCTTGATGACCTTAGCATCGATGGTCAAGCTCTTGGTGGCGAACTCAACCCCTATGGTGGACTTGGACTCCAAATTGAACTCGTTGCGCGTGAACCTCGAAAGCAAGTTGGACTTGCCCACACCGGAATCGCCGATCAGAACCAGCTTGAAGAGATAATCGTACTCGTCGTCGCCCTTGTACCCTGCCATCGCTTATTCCTTACCCACGCTTCGATAAATTCCGATTTACGATTTCTCTTCTCTCGAACCGCACCGCTTCTCTTCTCTTCTTTTACTTTTACGCGCTTTTTCCTTCGCACCACCCCCGCGATACACGCTTCATTATTATTATTATTATTATTATTAATCATAAATTATTAATAATTATTATCCGGTCATTTCAGTTTCTTCGTTCTTAATTCTTAGATTTCAAGAATAACTTACATAACTCCTTCCTCAATTCTTATAAAATAGTTTCCTCGCAATTTGTTTCTGAAATTATTTAAGTAATTAATCAAGAATTAAAGTTTCTTATTTAGTTTCTAAACCGATATAATTTATGCCAAATTTTTATTTTTTTCCTGTTAAATATTTAATTCGTAATTTTCATCGTTTTATTTTTGAATTTGCAATATTAATTATTTAATTTTATAAAAATTGTACTTTGGATTTTTTTTTTTTAAAAATCTTCATCTATTAATCATTAAAATCAGAATATTAGTCATGATTTATATTAGCTAGTTAATATAAAAAATAAAATTGAATAATATTTGAACTAAATTTTATTTTAATTCTTTTTTTTATCATATAAAATGATAAAATGAGAATTAAAAGTGTAATAAATTATTATTAATACAAAGATGGATTTATGAACATGTAGTATTTGTACGAATTGCTAGCTGTTTTTAAGTAATTTTTCAGTAATCATGTTAACGTATTGCTTGAAAGTGAGCTACTAGTCAAACAGATTTTTAACGTTGCAATCACATACTTTTATTAAGTTATAAGAATGATAAGACAAACTACTTCTATGGTTTTTCTTTGCAGTGTTTGGAGTCATTGATTTTGAGTGCACGAGTCGTAAGTTTAAGGTTTTTCTTTGTCGTTAAAACATTTTGATTATACATGATTTTTTTTTTTGTTTGGAAGTAAATAATAGTAGGATTAGTGTATATGCAGGAGGTGCGTGTTTTAATCTTGTTCTTGTTGTCATAATTATAATTTTTTTCTTAAAAAGAATATATTATGTGAATTTAATCATATAAATAATATAATATTCGGCCAACAAAGTGTTGTGTAATTTAATTCGTCAATTTTAGAAGATGTTCATAAAAAAAATCATATAAATGGCAAGCGTTTTATAATATATAATGAAATTGTATAATTGCATATTGAGTCATTGATTTTGGTAATTTAATTGTAATAATTCATCACATGCATGCTGGTGAAATTCATGAGTTGGCCTGTAGAGGCCTACCCAACGTAAAATTCACTCATGATAACTTGTACAATTTCCATGGAATTGTGAAAAAAGAAAGAAAAAAAAGTTGTGGCCATTGCTTCTTTTTAGAACGTGTCCAATGCTCGTTGATTTTAACGTTTTTTACGCTAGTTGAATGGTGGATATTATACAATACAATTCTCTCGTGATTGCTTTTTTATTTGTAGAACTGAAATGTGACGCATAAGCGATGAATACAAAAAGATATCTACGAGAGAGATCAAATATGGACAAAAGTTTAAATTAGCCAACTAACTAGGGATAGAAGAAAATATAGAAAGAGATGAATAATGTTTTTTTTTTTATATTGAAAAGTTGAATACTACATTATAATGGAGGTAAAGGAAATATATGTAGCAGAGAGTGCCACAGATATAAATAAATGCAAATTGACAAATCCCTAAACATAGATTTGTTTTCATATTTTGTTGAGATAAAAAAGGCTACTTTGCTGAATTGATTTGTGACAGCATAGCTCCTTTAATTCTCCAATATCTCTCCTTCAATTGAGCCATAATTAATGAAATTCTCTTTGCAACAATTTTGTGCCTCATGATTATCATAATTGTTGTCCAAGGACATCTCGATTCTGTTAATACCCTCCCTCAAACGAGGCTGAGGTTGAAAGCAGAGTTTGGTCTGGAAATGCATGAGAGTAGCCTTTGACATCGGTTTGGTGAAGAGGTCAGCAACTTGATCATTGGTGGGAATGTAGTGAGTGACAAGGAAGCCAAGAGAAACTCGTTCTCGAACAAAATGATAATCCAATTCAATGTGCCTACTGCGAGCATGGAAAACTGGATTGATGGTCATGTGAAGAGCACTAATATTGTCACAATAAAGTATTGGAGGGGAGGCAAGGGAAATGTGGAGGTCTTTTAGGATGAATGTCAACCATGTGAGTTCAGTTGTAGTATTTGTCATGGCCCTGTATTCGACTTCTATGCTAGAGTGGAAGACTGTGTGTTGTTTCTGCGCACCATGAGATGGGGTTTCCTCCAAGGAATGTGCAATAACCAGTGGTAGAACGCCGAGTTGTAGGAAAACCTACCCAATCTGCATCAGAAAAGGCAAAAAGATCAAGTGTAGTGTTAGAAGTGAAGTGGAGACCCACATCGATAGTTCCTTTCACATATCTTAAGATGCGTCGAACCATTTTTAAATGCATAATTGTAGGAGAATGCATGAATTGGGACACATAGTTAACACTATATGAAAGGTCAGGGCGAGTGAGAGTGAGATATTGTAAGGCTCCAACAAGCCCATGAAAGTAACTTGGAGCATCAAGGGGAGTGTTATTTGACCCGATCTTGGTCTTGGCTTCAAGTGGTGTGCTCATCAGTTTATAATCAACCATGTTAGCTCGTTCAAGAATAGTAGTAGCATAGTGTGTTTGGGAGAGATGGAGGCCATTGTTTGTCGTGAGTATCTCAATGCCGAGAAAATGGTGAAGAGGGCCCTAGTGCTTCATGAAAAATTCAAAAATGTAAGAGTTGAATGAAGTCAGAAACTAGAGAGGTATTGGATCCTATAAGAAGTATATCATCTACATAAAGGAGTAGAACTAAGGAACCTACATCAGAATGCAAAATAAACAAAGATGGGTCAGCCAAGCTACAAAAAAAGCCATAATGAATAAGAAAAGAACTAAAGCGGTCAAACCAAGCTCGAGGAGCTTGTTTTAGGCCATAAAGAGCCTTTTGGAGTTTGCAATCATAGTTAGGGAATTGAGGATCAGCCATGCCAGGAGGTTGTTCCATGTATATGTTTTCAGAAAGTACACCATGCAGAAAGGAATTTTTAACGTCAAGTTGTCGAATAGGCCATTTCTTAACAAGGGCTATAGTGATGATTAAGCGGATGGTGCCTGACTTGATTAAGGGAGAGAAGGTTTCAGTATAGTCCACTCCATCAACTTGGTGGTATCCCTTTGCAACAAGGTGGGCTTTGAGACGATCTAGGGAACCATCAGGTTTGAGTTTTGATTTGAAGACCCATTTAGAGCCAATAATATGCAAGTTAGGGGTGCGAGGAACAAGTTTCCAAGTTTGATTCTTATGAAGGGCTTCAAGTTCTTCGCCCATGGCGACTTTCCATCCGGGATGAGCCAATGCTGAATGAATATTATGCGGGTTACGTGGGATGTATGCACAAGGCATGGTAATCAAAGCGTACTTTGGATTATGCTTTACAATTCCATGTTGTGAGCGCGTAACCATTGAATGTGCAGGTACATCATGTGGTAATTGAGTCGGGATAGAAGAAATAGGCTCAGTTTGTTGAGTAGATGTAGGAGTCACAAGCTCAAGCTCAAGCTCATCTTCATTCTGTAAATGATGTGAGGAGTGTTCAGGTTGCTCAACTTCAATTTGAGAGGACTGTTCTGGTTGGTCGAGGAGTGGAGTAGGGACCAGCAAGGCGGAAGAGGGCACTAAAGTTGTTGGTAACGGACATGAGCATGGTGGTGAAGTGAGAGTTGTTGCTGTCAAATCTACACAAGAATTGACATTAGTATGGGGTAGCCAAGAGTCAAATATACTAATTACATGTGGTGTATAAGAGGGAATTGTATTATGGTGATTGGTCTTATATGGAAAAATTAACTCATCAAAGACAACATGTCGTGAGATAAAAATTTTTTTACTAGAAGGATGAAAGCATTTATAACCTTTGTGTGTATCACTATATCCAACAAAAACACATAGAATAGTTTTTGGATCAAATTTGTGACGTCGTGTGTCCCAAGTGTAAGGAAAACATTTAGAGCCAAAGACTCGTAGTGAAGAATATTTTGGGTGAGTTCCATGTAAGACAAAGTAAGGAGTTTCATAATCAAGAGAAGAGGAGGGGAGTCTATTAATAAGATGCACGACTGTAGTAAAAGCTTCGACCCATAGAAATAAGGGGGCACCACTGTGGAACAACATAGTCATACCTAGTTCCCGTATTATTCTATGTCGTCTTTCGACCATATCTGTTTGTTCTGGTGTATATGGGCATGACACTTGATGAATAGTACCTGTTAAACGAAAATGAGTTGAAAGTTTGGAGTTGATGAATTCACCGCCTCCATCAGAATGAAAAACCTTGATTTCCTTGTTAAATTGCTCTTTAACATACTGCTCAAAGGATAAGTAAGCATTAACAAAATTAGATTTGTGTTGTAAAGGAATAATCCATGTATACTTGGAGAAGTCATCAACTAAACATGCATAATATTTGAATTTAGAAATAGATAAAACGGGGGTAGGTCCCCATAAGTCACAATGTATTTTTTCAAATATAACAGAGCTAGAATGCTCAGAAGAAGAAGAAAAAAGCAATTTACTAAGTTTTCTCAATTGACAACTATCACATAGATGTTTAGACCTCAAGGTTCTAACTACATCAATTAATCATTTATTCTTTAGTAATTGTAAAGCTACGGTTTGAGGATGTCCTAAACGCTGATGCCAAATGTTTGCTGACCCAGATTTGAAGCGGTGAGAGAAATACAATTCAGGCATAGAAGAAAGAACATATAAGTCACCCTTGCGTCTCCCTGTGATCATCTTTTCTCCTATTTCTTGTTCCTTTACACAAAAATCAACATTAGAAAACTCACAATTAACAGGAAAATGTTTGGTTAGTTGGCTCACAAAGAGCAAATTTTTTGTTAAATCAGGGACAAGTAAGACATTATTGAGGGGTAGTGTGATATTCTTTTTCTTAATGACGGAGTCCCCAATGCCATGAATTGGTAGAGGAGAACCATCACCTATAAGAACATAATCTATACCTAAACATTGTCGAATGTTACTCAACATACTACTTGTACCTGTCATGTGATTGGAGGCTCCTGTATCCGAGATCCATTCAGTTTCAGCAATTGTGTTGTACAAGGTGAGTGTTGCAAGTGCTTGAGGGATATCATCAGATTTAGTTGGTTTCTTTGGCACCCACCAACATATCTTTGCTATATGGCCAACTACGCCAAAATATTGACATTTTTCATTCCGATAAAGATCTCGTTCCATAGGGGTTAGACGACGCTCTCCTGGTGGTGGGGGATGTCTCTGTCGGGTGGTCATGGTGTGTGGATTTTTATTTTGGTTACTTGGTTGTTGAGCTTGGAACCCTCACCTTGTAGATGTGAAAGTTTGAGAGTTCCCACGATTTTGAGGAAAAAAATTGGTGTGATTTTTGTTGTTGGCCATAGAAGGCCACTTGAGGAGGAAAACAAGTTTGCATAATCTTGGCACGACTGGAGAACGAATTGCGTCTTTGATCAAGGCTTTGGAGTTGAGAGATCAACTCAGAGTATGATGGCCTTGGGGGTTTTAGCATGGTTGTTGTGAAGGTTTCATATTCAGGGCCAAGGCTTGTGAGGAGATAGAATACCTTTTCTTTGTCTGGGACAGGTTTCCCAATTGCAGCAAGGTTGTCACATAAACCTTTGAAAATGCGAATATGTTCATTGATGGTTTGGTCCTCTTCCTTGCGGAGGTATGTGATTTGTTGACGAATTGTGAATTCACGTTCTTGTGAATCTTTTGCATATGCATCTTTGAGTGTAGACCAAACGGCACGGGAAGTATCGATGCCAACAACCAGCCCAAGTGCTTCTTCAGAGAGGGTGCCAATTATCCAACCTCGAAGAAGACGATCAGATTTTTGCCAAGTGACAAATTCATCGGTTAATTTTGGAACAAATTGTTCTGAGTTTGTGGTGTTGGTGGTGTATTGAGTGGGGGCTGGATTTTCATTTGTAAGATGGCCAACCATGTCTTGACTTTCTGCAAGGGCTAAGGCTTGTTCACGCCACAGTGGGTAATTTGTAGGGCTTAGTTTTAGAGTGATAAAATTGCTGACATTGAGGGATAAGGAAGTCACGATTGTAGAGGTTGTGGTAGTGTTCACACTGGCTCTGATACCAAGAAGAAAATATAGAAAAAGATGAATAATTTTTTTTATATTGAAAACGTGAACACTACATTACAATGGAGGTAAAGGAAATATATGTAGCAGAGAGTGCAACGGATATAAATAAATGCAAATTGACAAATCCCTAAACATAGGTTTGTTTCCATATTTTGTTAAGATAAAAAAGGCTACTTTGTTGAATTGATTTGTGATAGCACAACTCCTTTAAATCTCCAATATCTCTCCTTTAGTTGAGCCATAATTAACGAAATTCTCTTTGCAACAATTTTGTGTCTCATGATTATCATAATTGTTGTCCAAGGACATCTTGATTCTGTTAATAGGGATGACAAAAATATTTGTATCTATATGTATATGTGAATAAAATCTGTTATGAATAATAAATGAATAGTTCAAATGGATATCTATAGGTAATTGATGCAAGTATTTTTTTATATGTTTATAAATAGGGTGAAGATGGGTATAATAGTATTCATATACCAATAGGTATTACTATCCGTTTAATAAAATTTCTTAAATTATGATATTAATGTATTTTAAGTTATTAATTATCTTGCATTTTTTTTTAATTTTTTAATATCAACATAATTAACATTAAATACAAATTTAAAAGTTAATATTAATTTTTTATTTTTAACATTTTAATGATGTTAAATATAAACTTAAAATTATTTATAATATATAATTTTTTTATTTTTTTATTTTTTAAAAAAATTATAATTATCCATGAATATCCATAGGTACATATAAATATTAAAAAAAATTCATAAATATTTATTTAACAAATATATTCATATAAATATAAAATAAATATGAGATGAATTTTTATCCAGCAACCCATTGCGATGCCTACAACTAGCCATTGTTAAGAGTGCCAATGAATTTTCTTCTGTGTTTCCAATATTTTAAGAGCTATAGCTTGCATTTATTAGGCTCGGAGATCGACCATCAATTCCAAATCACACTTAGTAAAAAATAATGCTCACACACCCTCTCCTTATCTCCAACTCCAAAGCTTTATTGACACCTAAGAATAATGGTTTATTCCACTACTTATGAGTTTGTCATTTTATGTTACGAGCATATTCAAAGAGAATGGACAAACTAAATCTTTTGCGTAATATTTTTTATTAATAATGGGTTTAAAATTAGGATTTAGTTGAGAAAATCATATGGTAGTGAAGCACTTAGGAGAAGTATTACCATTTAAATAGCTTGAATATTTTTTTGGGCAGAACACTTTATTCTACATTTCATAATTTTTATTATATAAAATTATTAACGGAAGAGTAATTTTTCTTCTAACAGAATTTGCACAAATAGAAATCAATTTAGTCAATTTTTATTGACTCAAAATAATGGTTAATAAATAAACAACTATATTTTATACCCATGGTTGGATGAAAATTTAAGAAAATTAAAATTTTTGGTATTTGAATTATTTTGATTTCAATTCTTATCATTCTTAAAATATTTTATTTGGATAAGTCAATTCAAATTTTTTAAATTTTAACTTCTTAATTTGAATATGGTAATTTGATGATAAAATTGATTTTTAAAAATATATTCATATGTTGATACTTTTAAATTAAAATTGATAAAAACAATATACATTAACTAATTTTTAAATATTTAATAATTTTAAATTTTAATATTAGATAATATTTAATAATTTTTAAAATATTTTTAAATATTCAATAATTAAAAATACGAAGAGATGAGAGATAAAATAAAATATATAAGTAAAATATGAAAAAAATAAATTGAGAAATTTTAAATTTTTACTTTTTTTTTAGAATTTAAAATTCTAATATTTTAAGAAATTTTATAAATGTTTGGATTTTAAATTCTTTGTAAATTTTTCATAAAAAAATTTCACTTTAAAACATTTAAAATTCTTCAAAAAAAAATAAATTGTTGTATTTAAAATTTTCATTCAAACACACTAATAAATGTATTATCATTGATTTCGTACACAAATTCACTTTGACAATTTATATCTTGAAAATAAATGGTCTTTCATATTGGGTTAAAAATATCATTAATTTAAAATTTTAAAAGTATATTCATGAACATGATGAGAATTCTATCTATCTTAATATTAATAAGTGAATAAATTCCATACAACTTCCGAAACTGACTTATCAACCAAAATAATTTGAAATCCATTTCAAATTCAAATTTTAAAACTTACAGATGAGGGGGATCACGGACAGATACAATTTCTCTAGTCTGAAATTTAAAGGAGAGGAAGGAAAGAATTTAAATAGAGGGGAAGGGAAGGAAGGGGAGGGAAAGAGATAGATGTTCGATTCGATGTAGAGGAAGAGAAAGGATGTAATACTTTTCTTATTTGGTTTACAAGGAAGGAGAGAGATTTTAAAAACCATTTACTTATATATCATTATAATTTTAAATTAAAAAATAAACGTAAGGATATGTTAGACATTATATTATAAATATTTTAAAATCCTTCCACTCCCCTCTAAATCCCCAATATTGGGGGGAGCTAAATTGGGTTATGAGGAATTCTGCTCTCTTTTCCTTTTTTTCATTCCTCCCCAACCAAACACTATGTTAGGATTCATCTTATAGTTTACATTCAATTTTAACTTGTACAATAATTTTTTTTTCCTCACTACCATATTGGATACAATAGGTTGAGATGTACACACACTCCAATAAGAAGTTTCAATGGGTAAATCCAAAAGTAAGTGTTTTGAATTTCAAACATTAATATGTTATAAAGTTGATGCATTTTGAATTACCAATAATATTTAAATTTTTCATTATATTATTTTTATGGTCTCATGGACAAATAGAAAGTTATGAATGCGGATATTATGTTATGAACATGATGCTTATTATTGTTCAAGCAAACAAGTAGATGCGTAGATTATTGTAAGTTTTTAATGATGTGTATTTGGTTTAAACTTGAATATATAAAGTATATTATTTCATGAACTAAGGTGTATTTCATTTACATTTGCAATTCTTTCAAGATTCATCATCATCGTTTACCGACAACATAGACGGCATACAAGAGTTATGAGTGAAATTCTTCCTTGAGACTACTAAAGGTTGTTACTTGATTAATTAGTTTGTAACATATTTTTTAGTTTATTAGGTTTTATATCATTATGTTCAGATGTTCTTAGTTAGTTGATATTATGATTATGTTAGGTAGAAAATTTGAATGTACTTAACATCAATTTAAATCATTTTTAGTTAGTTTATGTACTTATGATGTACTACATATACATTAGTAATATATATGTAATAATTTAGTTCATTGAAGACTCATTATTGATTGTCTGGAATTACAAAAAAAAAAAAATTGATGTGGACCCTTTTTCCGCTAATGGTATATCAATTCATTAAATATTTTATGGAGAGTAAAGTATCGTTTTTTCAAAGACTCACACAATACTCAATAATAAAATCACAAATTATGCATGAAGAGAGATATTTTAAGTAACAAATAGATAGTTTGAGTTTTAACTACAAATTTAAAATATATTTTTGATATTTTTCTAGGTTATATAATCGTAGATAGTAGAATGAAAGATTAAAAATATGAAGTGTTGAGAATAAATTATACCAAACAATATTCCTTTTTCATAAATACTTATATGTTATCTTTAAAACTTCAAAACCAACATTAGTTTATAAATGTTCTCTTAACCCTAATTCTTTATGTGAAAAGAACCTAAGTTCCTTTATTAAATGAAAATTCCTTACACATTTAAAAAAATAACTTACATTAAGTAATTGAAACATTAAAGATGATTAATAAATCATTTTCCTTCCTGAAATAAGGTTCAAGACGCGTGTTACTTCAATTCAATATTAAAAGTGTTTTCTAATCACACTATATCAAAATCATAAATTATGTCATGGATGATGGCAAGTAGTAAGCATAGAAGTAAGAACATTGACATCGAAATACAACGATAAATATATTAACCAAAATAAGTACAAAAGAATAAATTTAATTATATTTCATCTCAACAATAGAGGAATTAGCTACTCATTTCCATATGATGCATCCAAAATACAAAAGAAAATGGAGAAATGGAAAGTCATAGGAGTAGGGAGAACCTCTTATCTCAATGAAACAATGTATTTTTGTTTAGGAACCAAATGATAAAAATAAAAAATAAGAAAAAGACTTCCCCCACCTACAGCTTAAAAATTTTCAAAGCACTCCGTTTTTAGTAACAAATTGTTTGACAATTAACTTTGCTCCCTAAGCGAGCTATGTTTGACAAAAAGAGAACACGGGTGACGTTCTCCATTGTTGCACAAATACAACACTCCATTGTTTAACATTGATTTAATAATCATATTGTAATAAAATAAAATATGTCTCACGTGAAAACCTTAATTTTATATTTTATGTGAATGAATTTTGATAATTAAATTGATTACAAAATTTTAATAAAATAAACAATTAATATATAGACCAACCAATACATGACTATTCTTCACTTAATTATAGGTCTCAAATTTAAGTTTTAGTATGAACTGCATTAAATATTCAAAAATAGAATTTTGTCATATATAACAATCTTATTCGGCTCAAACAAAATTTCTTTCGGTGACAAATACATGTGGTCTTTATAAAAAAAATCAAATAAAATGAAAAAATACAAGCAAAATAAAAATAAGAACTTTATTCTTTACAAGAATTGCTTACTTGATTTTATTTGGATTTCTTTATTAGTTGTCGTCATTTGCTAGCCTATGAATATCAATTTTAATTAAGTTAATAAGCTATTAAGATTAATTTAACCAAAAAGGAAAATTAACCGTCAAAGAAAAGAAGAGAAAAAAATTCAACCCATGTTCTTAAAGGAATGTGGAAAAATTTCAAGATCAAATTTGGACACTCTAGTATACAATTAATCAAATTGACACAAATCTACAACATGGTTCAGTCAACATTTTGTATCCTAGTCATCTCCACAACAGAGAGTTTTATCAAGGTAAATATTGATGGCAACTCTGTAGGCAACCCGAAAGTTTCAGGTTTTGGTGGACTTATTAGAGATTCTTATGCTCAATGGAAGATCGAATTTTCAAGCTATAATGGGATAGCAACGAATATGAGTTTTGAACTTATGGTCATTACCATGGGCTTCAAATAGCCTGAAATATGGGGTTTAGAGATGTTATTTGTGAATATGATTCTCTGTCGAGGGAGTATTCCTAATGACATCCTTATGGTTCTATTTTGAACAACACTAAACAATACATGTGTAGAAATTGGAATCTTACCTTCAATCATATTTTGAGGGAAGGGATCCAATGTGCAGATTGGTTGTCTAAGAAGGGTTCGTCATCTACTACCTCATGGTTCAAGTGGGAGCTTTATCTTCCACCTTTGATTTCAATGCTTGAAGCTGACATGCGAGGTGTAGTCTTCACTATAGTGTAGTTTCTGTGTCTGTTACTTCTTTTTTATTTCAAATGATTAAAAAAACAGGAAAGGGATGAATAGGGTAGTGACCCAATAAGGAGCCCACGGACCAGCAGTGGCTAAGTTTTAGAAGACCAAAACATGACAATTCAATGAGAGTAAGACCCAATCATATAAGCAAAACCCATTCACATTCATAAATGATTATAACTCACATCAAACAAAAACAAATTAAAACCCAGCAGAATATAAACAAAATAAAGGCAAAAACAAATTGAAGAAAGGGAACACGAGAAACATACACCATAATTATAATAATAATAATAAACTCATATAAGACAATAATAAGATGCCACATAATCTCATATAAGACAAATATTAGATAAAATTATTTAGATGTAATTATATTATTTTTAAATAAAATTAAAATTTTATTTAAATAATAAATATAAATATACATTAATAAAATCTATATTTATATTTAATGTCAATCTCATTAATATATATATATATATATATATATATGTCTATTATTCAGTAAAACTTCAACTCTAATAAAATTCAATTCTAATAAAAAGGAAATTTTTCTCCATTTATACACCTGTAGAATGCTAATAAATTTCACACTGTATCATTTTCCACGGTTTCTGAAAACTTGGAAAGTAATCACCTGAGCAAATCTTGAAGCTTCTGACAAAAGCTATCAACACATGCAGACTCCAAATTATGGCTTACCAAGAAGTTCCTCACTTTGGCATGATTTTCCCTGACTTCTCTGCCAACCTCATTCTCCTCATCCATCACAACTCTCACACCTTTGCACACACTATCTTTTGTGAAAAACCCATCTTCTTCACCCTTCTCCACTTCAACCCCAACCCTTAAGATTCCACCCATCATCCTAGCATTAACTATGTGATCACTGTCCAGTTGTGGAACCAACACTATCTGACACTTATTCACTAGTGCTTCTGTCAATGAACCAGCACCACAATGTGTTATGAAGCAACCCACTGAAGGGTGTTCCAAAATCAGTTGCTGTTGTATCCATCCACTGTGGACAATTCCTCTCCCTTCAACTCTCTCTTTGAACCCTTCAGGGAGAGCAGCTTCAATTGTTTCAAACCCTATTGGAGTTTTCAGAACAGCCAAAAAAGGCAGGTTTGTAAGTTCAAGACCCAACAACAATTCTTGGAAC